AACACACTGATCATGTGTGTGTACATGCCCAAAATCCCGGAAGGAGAGAGAAATGGAAGCAATGGGATTAGAACAAGACAATTCCCCAAGTGGGGTGCTTTCTTTTTTTTTTTTGGAGAGATTTTTGCTATAGGGTGTGTGTGCTCGCCAGACAGACAGAGAGAGACATAGAGACAGAAAGCGAGAAATCACCCCCCAGGGGGGATGGTCACGCCACAATCCCTTCTCCTCCATTCTCCTCTCGGGATCTTGGGCACGCACACACACGCACCCGGCGTGAGTTTTAAGCCACCGGGTCCAGGACGTGAACTGCAGTCAACTACATGGGAATCCAGCAACATAGCCATTACGCTAACTGCTGGTTCCCAAGGTGGGGTGCTTTTTCACTTTCTCTCTCTTTCTCTCTTTCACTCTCTCCAGCAAGTGCACATGTCCTCTGGCAAATCAAAATATATAAAGAAAAAAGAAAATGATAAGGGAATCAAAACATACCAATACCAAAAATCAACTCAATAAAAAGACAGTATCAGAGGTAGTGAGGAACGAAAACTTTATAAGTCATGCAGAAAAACAACGAAATAAGTATTTTCTTCAGTAATTACTCAAAACATAAATTAAACTCACCAAGAAACAGAGATAGTCTGAATATATTAAAAAATTTTTTAAAGACCAGGATTCAACTATATAGCATCTACAGATATTCTTTTTAGATCTAAGGACATATAGAGGTTGAAAGTAAAATGCAAATAATAACCGGGACACGAACCGCGGTCGACTACGTGGGAGTCCAGTGACATAGCCATTACGCTAACTGCTGGTTCCCCGGAGACAAGGATTTTTATAGTGATAATAATGTCAGTTTCCTAAGAAGATAAAATAATTACAAACATGTATGTGCCAAACATCAAAGATCCTACATGTAATAAGCAAGGTTGTCTAAATTGAAGGGGAAAATGGCACTATAATTTTGGTAGGAAACATCAATATTCCACTTTTTTGAGAGAGATTTTTGCTATAGGGCACATGTGTTAGCTAGAGAGGCAGAAAGACAAAGAGAAAGGGAGAAATCACTCGACAGAGAACATGACCTGTCACAGTCCCTTCTCCATTCTCCTCTCAAGATTTTGGGCATTCACACACACGTGCCTGGCATGGATTTTAAGCTGTTAGGTCAGGGGCTCAAACCACGGTCAGCCATGTGGATGTTCAGTGCCTTAACCACCGTGCCACCTTTTAGCCCTCAATATTCCACTTTAAATAATAGTTAGAACAATTAGGCAGAAAATCAGTAAGAAAATAAAGAATGTGGGGACCAGCAGTTGGCATAATGGCTATGTTGCTAGACTCCCATGTAGTTTACCATGGTTTGAGTCCCAGACCTGGTGGCTTAAACTTACACCAGGCGCATGTGTGTGCATGCCAAAGATCCCAAGAGGAGAATGGAGAAGGGATTGCGGTGTGGCCATCCCCCTAGGGGGTGAATTCTCGCTTTCTGTCTCTCTGTCTCTCTCTGTCTTTCTGGTGAGCACATGCACCCTATAGCAAAAACCTCTCCAAAAAGTAAAAATAAAGAATGTGAACAACTGCAGACCAATTGACTCTAATAAGCATATATGTTAGCCAATAGCAGAATATATATTTCTCCAAATGCACATGGAACAGACTCCATGATAGATCATATATTAGACCACAAAGTAAGTCTTCATACAGTTAGAAAAGTTGAAATCAGAAAGAACACTTTTCTGATCATAATGCAATGAAACTATAATAGGAGAAGGAAAACTGGAAAATTTACTTATATGTGGACATGAACACATTCTTAAATGACCAACAGTGAAAAAAAAAATTCAAGAGAAATTGGAAAATACTTTGAGATCAGTGAAAATAATAATACAAAAACACAGGGTGCAGCAAAAGGCAGTGATAGGAGGGAAATCTACAACAGTAAATGCTCCTATAAAAAAATAAGAAAGTCCTCAAATCCGCTACAATATACTAAAAAGTTGACAATTATTTCATTGTGAAAACACAGCACAAAATACCATAGTCTCCCCTTATCTGTGGGAATATGTTCTAAGATCCCCATGGATGCCTGGAACCATGGGAAGGACTGAATCCTATATATACTATGATTTTTTCCCACACGTAGATACCTATGATAAAGTGTAATTTATAAATTAAGCACAGTAAGAGATTGACAATCATAACTAACAATAATGAAAAACAATTATAACACTATGCTACGATAATAGTTGAATGTGGTCTCTTTCGAAATATTTTATTGTATTTATGGTACCACCTATTTTTGAACTATAGTTGACCTTGAGTAAGAAATCATAAAAAGCAAAACCATGTATAAGGTACAAAGCCAATTCACTAAACCAAATAGTGAACTTATTTATTATTTTTAAAGTCTAATGCTGCCCAATACGAACTTGAGTTTAAAACTGCTATTGATTTGGGGAACCAGCAGTTAGTGTAATGGCTATGTCGCTGGACTCCCACGTAGTCGACCGCGGTTCGTGTCCCGGACCCGGTGGCTTAAAACTCACGCCGGGCGCGTGTGCTTGCGTGCCCAAGATCCCGAGAGGAGAATGGAGGAGAAGTGATTGCGGCGTGACCATCCCCCCTGGGGGGTGATTTCTCGCTTTCTGTCTCTATGTCTCTCTCTGTCTGTCTGGCGAGCGCACGCGCCCTACAGTGAAAATCTCTCCAAAAAAAAAAAAAAAGTAAAAAAAAACTGCTATTGACTTGGACCTTTCAATGAACTAACTATAAAATCCAGGTTATGGAACACTGGAGGAATGATTTTCTTCTTCCCTATCCCCAACAAACATACATACACACAAGACATGTACTAGCACACACACTTAAAAACATACACCTGCACATGAGCAACAAATATATAGAAGTAAACTCTCTGGGAACTAAAACGATTCCATTTTTTTTTGGGTACACACATGCAAAGCACTTTGCTAAACTCTATGAACCAGGAATTCACACACCTATAGTCATCTTTAATCCAGAGCCAGAGTCTATCTATTTCATTGGTGCTTAGGGAATGTCTCTGGCTTGGACAGGTGAGTTAATTTGGGCATTTTCTTTTTGGGTCAGACCCAAAATCAAGCTGAGAAAAAAATATGAAAGGAGGTAGAGAGTAGTTGTCTTTTCCCTGCAATAGGAAAATATGTATTCCAACAAACCAAAGCAAATTGAGTTCATTCTTTGTAGTTACAACTACATATTATTTTGAGTTCAAATTCTTTCTATTAATACATAAGATTTATTGAAATTATACTGTTTGAGTAGGATCAAGAAAGTTGAATATTATTTCAGGATTTCAAGCCATAAGGAAAAATAGTGCCTGTAGGTTTTCCATTCAACTGGGAAAATTATAGCTTTATATTTGCAACACTAAAGCTAGTGCACTGTCAGCACCTTCATCAAACTCCGTTGTTCAGCAGTTTATAATTCAAGCAGAAACGTTCCCTCCAAGCCCAAACTTGGCCTACACAATCTCAAAAATGGAGAAAAATTATTTTGGCTAGTGCTGATTTATAAAAGCGAAAGAGAGGGTGCTTTTACAAAGTGCTTTGAAAAACATCTTTGAGAATTTGAGAATGTAACTGGGGATTACTGAGTTGACATCCTTCGTTCCTAAAATTATAGAAATGAGCCAAAGTTCTATGACGTCATGTCACTATCAGCAGTATCATAATTATTTCATCAAACTGTTCATTAGAACTAATGTCCATATCGGACAGATATACTGTTCCTAGAGAAATAAAAAACAATTATAGTGGAAAATAAGGACAAACGGGTAAAAATTTTTCATGAGGGCAACATAAGACTTTAGATCCATTTTTTTTCCTTTAGATACTGTATAACTTTTTAACATATAATCTACTCACATATAAAATGAAAAAAAATAATTTCCAGTTTTCATAATAGTTTACTATAACAGGCTGTAATTTCCAAAAACAATCTCCCCCTCCCCCCCCCAAATGCTAACCTGGACTCGGAACAGCTTAGTATAACTTTTTAACATATAATCTACTCACATATAAAATGAAAAAAAAATTTCCAGTTTTCATAATAGTTTACTATAACAGGCTGTAATTTCCAAAAACAATCTCCCCCTCCCCCCCCCAAATGCTAACCTGGACTCGGAACAGCTTAGTGTAGAAGTGGACTTCCAGCTATAGGTGACAAGGAAGCGCTTTGGGCTCCCCAGTCGTTGAAGGTGAGGTAGGTGGTTGGGGTGGTTGGGGTAGTTGGAATGAGGCACTAGGCAATTCTAGTGCCTAGTGCAATTTGAAGTCATGTGGCAGATGGGTAATAGACTGTCAGGTGTCTCTGTGGCATCCCATGAATGAGTCTGGCAACCAAACCTTCAAAAACCCATCTAACCTGTGACACAGTGGGATGAGGGCATTACACAAGAGAGTATCCTTTGCGATCCACGGCTCATTTGTATTAAGTACTATACATTGTTAACCTAAGCACTCAGTTGAAATACCTGTTTTTACTCAGCATTTACTAAACCCTTCTTTGGGGGCAGGTCACAGATGATTTGGCAAAATTCCTGTCCTTTGGATGACAGGAGGAAGCAAACAGGTCATAAACAAAACTCAGATGTAGTTGTGGAGCGCCATCTGACGACCTTACTGAAAAGGGTCTTGAGTCAGACTCTCCTAATCTCTTCCCACCCGGTACCTCTCACCTCTCACCAGCTTCGCACTGACTCACCTGGGGGGCGTTTTCTTCCTTGTCCCCACCCCCCACCCCAACGTTCACCGGTTATGGGACTCTGCGCAGGAGGCGAGGGTGCGCTGGAGCGGGACCAGAGCGCCAGGGAGAGCGGGACTAAGGACTGAGTTTTCCGAGGGAGGGCGGTGCGGGCGTCGGGAAGAGATGGCAGCCTGGCAGCCTGGCCGCCTGGCCTGGGACCGTCTGGCGGGGCTTCTGGCCAGAGACGACGTGCTGGGCTCAAGCCTCACCTGATTGAAGTGTGCAGCTATGAGCGACGGTTCCCAGGCCTTGGAATTGGTACTCCCAATCCCGCCTTTCTCCTTCTTGGGTGCCATGCAATAGACGGGAGGAGCATTGGCCTCTACACTGTGCTCAGGCCCGGCCTAAGCGTCCCCGCTGCCCCAGTAACCGAAGCCACGCCCCGTTCCTGAACCAGTTCAGCTCTCCGCCCCCAAGCCTGTTCTGAAGCTTCTGGTCAACCGCTTCCGTCGCCATAGCAACGGAGTTCCTTAGCGCTCCGCCGCTTCCAGGCCGGACTCCTATTTCCCCAGTTAAATTTTAGGGTTTTTGGGCAGGAGGCAGAAACGAGGCTAGCCTCGGGTTGGTTAGGCTCCTTTCTTTTACTTCCTTCGACTCTCTACTCTGGAAATCCCTAGAAACTCAAAATCCCCGGAATTCTTCCCGGGACTCTTCCACCAAGATTTTTTTTTTCCTGGTCCTGAGTAATCTAGAAAGGAGTACTGAGCCCCTCAGGAAGCAGCCCATGCTATTTGATCAGCCTGCCCAAGTATTCCTTATATTAAGCCAGATTTGTCTCCTGATCTCCATCCTCTGCTCTGGCCTGTATTAACCAAATGTAATCCCGCATCCACGTGATCCTTTTGCTTTTGTGTTTCATCTGTGGTAACCAACCACAGTTCCTGTAAACTGTCTTCCTTTGATAAGTAAGAACCTTTTTTCGCACACCACTCTCTTCTATATTTACATCCTGCTTAGACAATTTGCCCAAACAAGGATATATATGTAAAATTTGTTTTTTAAGTCCTGGCCATATGCTGTACATGGTTATTTCATTTAATTCTCACAATTTTGTCCCCAACTCCTCAGCCTGTGATTGATGGCACCAGGATTAGAATCTGAAATAATCCAAGTCCCCAAACTAACCTCTTACATGACTGCCTACTACTATTTTAAGCCTGGTAAAATGAGAAACACCCTCCCTTTGGGGAGGGGGAGCTAGATTTACTTATTCATTACATATTACAATCAGAAAAATTTTAGGATAACTGAGGCAAAGGTATTTTGTTGTCTCTAGTGCATACAGAGTGCCAAAGACTTGTTTGTCTAGAGACAAACTTCAGTTACCCCACTGGGCTAGGGATGACTAAACTATATATGACCTCAGTTTAACAAACCGTGGGCTTTGTGACCTTCCAGACTTCCCAGGGGTGAAAGTTTTGTTTTGTTTTTAAGGTTTTTACCACAGGACCCCTATGCTTACGGAAGAGACACAGTGAGAGGGAAAGTGAGAAATCACCCCGGGGTGGAAATCTGGGGGGATGGCCAAGCTGCAATCCCTTCTTTCCCCTCCTGAGGCGCTGGGCATGTGCGTGCACACATGCCTGGGATGATGCTCAGGCTCTGGTCTGGGACTCAACTGCTGTCAACAATGTGGGAGTGCAGTGCCTTAACCATGATACCACCTGCTGGCCCCATGTTCTAACCGTTTTAATTGGTTCCTTTAAGGAAGAAATTGTTGAAGGGGGTGGGATAGTGATATTCTAGTCGCTACTATCTTACTTCAGGAGAGGCAGTTTTAATGATGAGGACTCTTTTCAACTCTTGGTCATGATTTGCACCATCGAAGGGAATTCCTCCTTCTATACAGATATGAAAGACAAACAATTTACCGAAACAATCTTTCACACCCCCCCAAAACAAAATCCAAGTTTTCCTTTCTTATTGTGATTTGGATAATTTAGATCCATTCAGCCTCGCTAGCCACATTTATGATCTGAAAGTCCTCTTTTCTTTTTTTCTTTAAAAATACTTTTCTTTATTTGTGATAGAGCACAGGCACACACATGAAAGATACAGAAGTAACCTCCAAAGGGTCTGGCCTCATTGCCATTCCCGTCTTCCTCCACTTCCTTAGCCTTTCAAATCTTGGGCA